CCAATTATAGACCGATCGTAAAAAATTCTTTAAGCAAAATTTTTGTACATAAAAGCTATATTTCAGTCAAATTTTGTATCTATATCATAATTTAGTAATAAGTAATGTGTGTTCAAGTGATTTTCTGAAGGGACACTTGCATGGGACCGACCGCACCCATGCTATGGACCGATAGTGAAAAAATCTTGAAATTGAATTTTTGTATACCAAACTAATATTTGTGCCAAATTTTGTATCAATAGCATTATTTGGTAATGAGTAATGTGCGTTTAAGAGATTTTCGTAAAAGGACCTTGTATGGGAGCTATGACCAATTATGTATATAAAGACAAAATTTCAAAATTCTGTATCTATATCCTTATTTGGCAATGAATATTGTGCATTCAAGTGATTTTCTGGAGGGGACCTAGTATGAGAGCTATGACCAAATATGGACCGATTTTCGGGAAAGGTCCTTGTATGGGAGCTATGACCAATTATGGACCGATCGGAAAAAAATTTCATGGTAATATTTCTGTATATGTGAGCAATACTTGTACTAAATTTTATATGGATATCTTAATTTAGTAATGAGTTATGTGCGTTTAAGTGATTTTCGGGAGGGGACCTTGTATGGGAGCTATGACCAATTATGAACCGATCGGAAAAAACTTTCACAGTAATATTTCTGTGCATATAAGCAATACATATTCCAAATTTTATATGTATATCTTAATTTAGTAATGAGTTATGCCCGTTTAAGTGATTTTCGGGAGGGGACCTTGTATGGGAGCTATGTCCAATTATGGACCGATCCAGAAAATTTTTTTCTCTGAATGAATTCTATTTACATAAGATTTTAATTTGTAAAATTTTGTGAAGATATCAACATTTTGACGGAAGTTATTAACAAAAAACTCATTTTCTGGGAATATGTACTTTTGTATGGGAGGTATATGAAATTATGGACCGATTCTGGTAATTTTCAGCAGGAATCAATATCTTGTGTAGAAACGAGTGTATGATGACTTTCATGAAATTATTTTGCTTAGTTTTCGAGAAAATCATATCAGAATGTGTAAAAATTGCTTATTTTTTCGGAGTTGTTTTAAATTTTGATTCATAACTTTTCCCCATGTGAACCGATTTTGCTCATTTTCAATACCAAACTGTACTGTATTTTGGTTAAATTTGGTTAAATTATATTGCTTCGTTTTAACGTGAGCGTGTTTTACACAGACAGACGGACGGACATAGCTAAATCGACTCAGAATTTCATAAGGACCCAGAATATATATACTTTGTTGGTTCTCAGATGAATATTTCTTGGTGTTACACACGGAATGACAAACTTATATATACCCTCTATCTCCACTGATGGTGGTGGAGGGTACAATAATAGTAAAAATTAAATTTTTTGAGCTATGCCAGTCTTGTAGTAAATGAAATTTACTTATGTATTTGCAGCAAACAACTCTGAAAAACTTTTAAATAAAGTTTATCATCTATTAAATAAATATCATATATTGAATATGCACATATAAAAAACTCGTAACTTTTAACATTTGCAAATAATATAAATTGAATAAACTCGGTCGGTATGCATTCTCATTTGTAGTATGTATTTATTTACAAGTAATTTATAAACTTTTAACTTTATTCCCTCAATTTAAAGAAGAAATGAAAAGAAATAAAATGGATTAGGATACAAAAATATAAGAATTTAGATTAGGGTGTTTTAATATGGATATTTTTTACCTTTTGAAGAGACGCAAATTCAGTAGCATCGTGCCTAAATGTAATTGCTGAGGAGTTTTTGTGTCAAATTTTAGATTTCTTGGTCTCGTCGAATATTTTTATTCTGTAGGGAGAAAAAAAGGACGAAATTTAAATTTCATGTTTCCTATAGGACAGACAAGTGTAATCTATTGAAGTTCGCTTTTAGAAGCCACCACTAATATTCCATTCGAAAATGCATACCCTAATATTCGTACATACATATACATGTACATATTTATTTATAGCAGCTGCTGCTGTTGTTATTGCTGTTTTTTCACACAATTTTTGCAAAGTATTTAAATGTAACCGTCAATTCTTTATCGCCTTCTTCTCACCTAAAATAACAAACAAATAGAATAAATAAATAGAAGAAATAATACCAACAACATGAAAAACCCAATGAAAGACCAGCCAACCAACCGACCAACAACCGCTAACCTGATGGCAAACGGAAATAAAATGGAATTGATATTTATACCAACAAGATAAATAAAAAACTCACACACATTTACAGCAAAATAAAACGCCAAGATAGAAAACTATAAAAGAAAATAGTTCGACATCAATTTGCATTGACGCGCAGCTTTTAAGATAATAAAAACTCAAAAAAATAAATGAAAAAAAACTTGGGGTAAAAATAATTGAAGAAGACTTTTTTTAACATTTATCCACGAATACTTGTTATAGAAAATGTTTTCAATTTGTATTTATATTTTTCTTCTTTCATTTCCCCCACTCACTTAGTTCGATTCACATTTCTTTTCAATTCTAAAGTGATATTAAATGCGAGTTTACACCCGAGAGCCGCAATAAAAAAAATAATTTTCCTTAAAATCTAAAAGTGTATGTATGTAGTAAAATAACTGTAAATATATTTACAGATACGACGTGTTACATGTATATCATATACGTTTTGTTAAGAAATGTCAACTTTTAGACGGTTACACAATAGTACTTACTATATGTACATACAATGTTGGTTGGTCTTTTTAATTCAAATTTCACTTTTAGAATTTGAACACCCCACGGTTTCAGATATCTTCAAAATACTACAATTTTGCATTTGTGAACTGATTTCAAAAGATTATATTGAAAATATTTTCTAGTATAAACAACATATAACAGTTTTAATGAAGAAAATCTTCGAAGACAAAGAAGTTACCATATATCACGGGTAATCTAATTATAATTATTGGCCAACATTTATCAATAATGTTTCCGATCTAATAGATTTTTTTGTAATTAAGAACTTAAAATCAGAATCAATATCTGTGATTTCTTCTCCTCAATGTGTGTATCATAAATTAATAAGTAAATTGCGAAAAGCGGAATATATATGGACTTATGTATGTAGATATTTCGACCCTTTCGGCATTTATTATCACGGGTTGCCCGTTAAATATAATATACCCAGCAAAAAAATAACTTCCAAAGAAGCGAAAAAGAAGTAGAATTTACTCCATGGAAGTACTGAAAAAGACCTGAAGAAGTGATGATTTTAACACAGGCTTGTCATAGGAAGGATGTCCTTTCTATTTAATTCCAAATTCACTACTTCTGAAGTCATTCTTAAGAAGTAATTTTTATGCTCTTTTTTTGGAAGTTATTCGGAAGTGAAATTGTATTATTATGGAATACAACTAATTTGACTTAAATAATATTAACATTTATAAAGGATATATATACATTTAAAACAGAAACCCAAAAATAAATTTTTTTATCTCACAAAAATGTAAGAACAAAAAAAATATCTTCAGCATTGAAAAAATTGAATTATTTTCGCCTCTTCGAAAGTCATTACAGAAGGTAAAACAATTCACCAATTGCTACTTTTGAAGTGGTGATAAATGTTATTCTTTTGTAAGTAATTCGCTTTATTTTTACTGGGGTAATATATAGTTATGTACAGTATCGATACGTTTTGAACATCTGACTGATTTTCGACACATTTACAGGCCATTACGGACTGTATTTAACAAGTGAAATATGGATTTCGTAGAATATTACTTTGCCGTAATTTAAAAATATAATTTTTAAACAATTTATTGACAACATGTACCGAATGGGGAAAAAATTTTGATCAAAGGTGGAAAAATATGTACACATGGGTAATTTCGTGTCAAGTGACAACCTTTGCTCGTACAATCACAGATTTTTTAGGTTTTTTAGATTTGCGATGAGTTCAGATCTAAATTTTGCTTTAAAACGTAAATTTTGTGAACAATTTTTTATAAACCATACAAACGCTTTGACAAAAATTTAATAAGGGTTTTCATATAAACGTTCAAAAGTCTCGCAAACTATGCAATCTGTGCATTTTCGATATTATATTGAATTTGACACAAATTGTGTTTGATTTTACTTCCTTACATTGATACATTTGATCGCATATTTTATTTGACTGATAATTTAAACTAAATTTTATACTCTAAATAATGCAGATAGCCATTTGTGCAAATGGGCAAGTTTGCACTCCAGTTTCATGAATGACCTTAATATGTTTGTACAAAAATATTTTTTTTTTGATTTTTGTGCAAACAAAACTCAAAACATCCTCCTCCACTACACTAACAAGTTTGCACAAACGTAAAATGTCTGCCAAGCCGCTTGTGCAGTCTATTTGGCCCTTCTCTTGAATATATTTATAAAATTTTATGTTCTTAAAGGGCAAATATAAGATCTTTTCAAATTTGTTTATTGAACTAACTTTGGAGTAAATACATCGTATTCCAACAGGGTCAGGTCAGTGTTGAAATGTAATAAATACAATATATACTAAAAACTAACGTACAAAATTAATCGACATGTACAGCTTTTCGAAAACAAAAAAAATATATTTAATTATCAACTTTTAAATTTATAACCAACCTAGAAAATATATATTATTTAATACTAGCAAAATTTTTTCAATATAAACACACCACAAATATTTTGCAGGATAGTAATTTTCTCGTATTTAATTAACACAAATCACAATTTCGCTCGCTCTAATCGTTAGTTTACCCTTATATTTACATATTCCTTTTGATTCAATGAATCCTTTTTAATGCGATTTTAAAATTATACAGTAAATTAGAAATTTTTCATTTGTTTTTTTTTTTCTGCAAATGTTTGTCAAATGTTGTAATTTTTAGCATTCATTCACTTTACTCTATCTATATATTTGTCTGTATATGAATGTTTGTATGTAGAAATGTATGAGTATTTGTTTTATTTTTGTTATTTTGCAATTTAAATTTCAGTTGGCATACTAAACGACCAAATAACGAAGAATCTATTCAGCATTTGTTGGCAACAGGACGGGCTAAAATTAAGGATGGTACTCTGATTATAACCGCAGTGGACAAATCAGACAACGGTGCTTTCTATTGTACAGCGACCAATTCAGAGGGAAGTGAAACTCTTGAAGTGCAAATGTCAGTTACGTCACCACTGACAGCAGCTATACAGCCCACTGTGCAGACAGTAAATTTAGGAAAAACTGCAGATTTGGTATGTACACATTCACGTTGCTTCCTTTACAAACGGAAATGAAAACAAAATTACTAAATCTACACATTTCAACAGCACTGATACACATATTCACATATACAAACACATGAAATAAAAAAGGACAAAATAAAACCAACACAATCAGAAATAAAAAAGGAGTAGAAAGAAAGACAAATAATATTTGGTAGCTTTAAAAATTTTTGCTCTATGGTACCAAAAAAAAAAAAAAATATATATATCTATGTATTTTAAAATTTCTACGTATGTGTAATAATAGACCTGCTCTTAAAGGAATAAAACAATTTAGAGTTTTATATTCGGCTGTGTCGAATGTTTAATACTCCCCAGTTTAAACTGATTCTATAAATTATCATATTGAACATTGTACGCCTTAAATTATGATATGAATTGTTCCACTAAGCATATTGTTATATAACACACTAAAATGTATCAAAATTAAGAAGTATTACACTATGCGACAAAAATAAATTCTTGGGATGTAATACAATTATTCTGTGTTTGAAAATCATGAGATAGGTGTAAAAAACGGTTTTTCGTACCTTTAAGCATTTATAAGTCTTTAACTTAGTTGAATCTAAACCGATTTTAAGTTTCTCAACGGACTTAGAAAACAGAAGATGGGGCCTTTATAATGGCAAATGTATATGATCTTTAAGTATCATGTGCGCATTTCATCGGCCAACAAATTTTTGATTTTAGTTCTGCACCATTTTCCAAGTTTGGAGATGTTTTTAGAAACTATTTTATATAAGAACCATTCTATTTATTAATGTATTAGTAAATTATGTCTGTTCATGAGTAAAATGCAACTTAGTTCTTAAAAATCCGTAAACAATTGTTCAAAAACTGATTTTCTGAAGGATGCTTCATATGGGGTATATAAAATTTGGTGGAAGTATTTTATATAAAAGTTATTTATGCTGAATTTCATCGTGATATTAATATTAAAAGGAGAATTATGTCATTTTCTGAAGGAGGGTTTGTATGGTGACTAGGGTCAAATAAATAAGTCCGTAGCAGTAAGGATTACAGCAAACTCATCACTAGGATTACAGCAAACTCATTTATACCGATTTTTATATTGATCGGACTTGATTTGACCCAGTGTCCCCATGTTAATCCTTTTCAGCAAATGACTTTAATTCTCTTAATTACATTAATATCACTATGAAATTCAGCATAAATAACTTTTATATAAACCTAAATCCTTACACCTAATTTTATGAGAATCGGCCCATATTTAATCTTATCCCCCATATAAATCACCTTTCAAGATTTTTAAGGTGTTTGGAAAATTTCGAAAACACATTATTGTTCTACCAAGGTCGACCTTTCAGAAAAATAATGTCACTTCCCAGGTATGTATTTAAATTTTCGTTTATTTTGTCTGACTATGTTATTATACATAATAACTTATTTAAATTTTCATGGTATATATAAGAAAGCGATTATCAACATAGTTCATCCTTGTATGAAAAACGTTATGTCTAGCAGTGAGGAACTCTTTGCGCGATTTGAAAAGATTTTTTGTCTTTAAACTCAAAAATCTATTGAGCCAAATTGGAACAAGAGGTAAATAGACCAAAAAGACACATTTTTATAAAAATCGTTCCAATGCCACGGCCACCTCTCACTCCAACTGAAATATAACTATCACATATACATACTTCGAAACTTTTACGAACCAAAAATTATGCCAATCAACACAGAGTCAAAAAAACTCTAAAATCTACTGAGCAAAATTGAAACAAAAAGGAAAATAGACCAATAAGCCCCGTTCAGAAAATGATTTCAAATTATATAACTGTCTTAAAAATATTAGTGTCGCATTAAAAAATCGGACTGAATAAGTTTTGTGGTCCTAATTCGCTTTGCTAAATTTTAGGAAAATAGGTACATTACCCTTTTCCATTTGATGGTCCCCTTGATCCATTTGTTTCATAAAATTTGTTCGTAGTCAATAAATCACTGACGCAATACAAATTGAAATTTAACTGCAATTAAAACAATTTTCATATGTATATTATTTACAGTTCAGTCCGCAATTGTCTAATGCCCCTTGAAGGGTCTGTTCTGAAAATCAATCTATGTTAACATTAATCTTGTTATTAAATTTGGTAAATAGTTTTATAACAAATATTAACTAGTATAAAAAATTCTGACAGGTAGGGGAATGATATGATCTACCAAGGTCACTTTATTTTCTTGTTTAGTTTTGAGTATCACAGTAAATTTTTTTCTACCGATTTAGATGAAACTTATGAAATCGAAATTAACCCTTAAACGTAAATATATTGTTATTATTATATAAAATATCCGAAATATATGATCCAAATATTCAATGCCATTTTGCGAGAAAATTGTGTGTGATAAAGAAAACCAGATATCGGAATTGTTTTCAAAAGTTTCTACAAACCTTCGTTTCGTTACTCTGTGTAATTTATCAAAGTTTTATACCAATTGCTACATAAATGATGCTAAATGAAATCAAGAACCAAATATCTTGTTTTCCACATACAGACTTATTTAGAATCCCCTTATCTTTTTTAGAAATATTTTATAAAAAAATAAAATATTTCTTTAAGGGCAGATCTAATGTAAAAGTGTGAAACAAAAACTACAAAATAAAAAATTTTAAAAGTGTTCCTTTTTCCTTTTTGGTTTTATTATGTACATTTACAAACACAAATATGTACATATATGTATGTATGTACATATATACATATGTACCATCCATATTCATGCATAAAAAAAGAAGACTCTAACAATCATTAATTTGAATTTTAGATTTGTAGTATTTCGGGGTTTCCAAAACAAACCATCTCCTGGTTAAAGGATGGCCATCCACTGAGAGCGGGTGCCAGGGTACGTTTGCTGTCTAAAGAACATATGCGTATTACCTCAATTACGAAAGAAGATAAAGGCATGTACCAATGCATGGTAAAGAATGACTTGGAATCTGTACAAGCAACAGCAGAATTAAAACTAGGAGGTATGTAATCACTCTCTATCTCCCTCTTTCACACATACATACATATCTACGTATATATACATACATTTGTATATTCTAATATTTGTTGACATTTGATATGTCTGTGAAAGAGTGCGTGCGTAGATGAAAATGGGTATGAGTATTTATTTTTGTATTTCTTTTTCTTAAATTTTAGAAGTGGCACCACAACTTATCTACAAGTTTATAGAACAGACAATGCAACCAGGACCATCTGTTTCATTAAAATGCAGTGCAAGCGGCAATCCAACACCAAAAATTGTTTGGCAATTGGATGGTTTTCCATTGCCTAATGTAAGTACATTCAACTCCCATCTAACTACACACTACACATACGATTTATTCATTCATTTATGTATGGATTCAGTTGGACCCATACACATTTCCAAAAATATGTATGTATTTATTCTATATACTAATGTATGTATGTACAAGAATAGTAAAAATAAAAACAAATTGTTTCGTTATAAATTTCAACAGAAAAAAATGAAAACCAACAGCAAATGCACAGAAAAAAGCAAAATGCAATCAATTTTAATTTAAAGCACGAAACTGGTAGAAAAGCCTGCAAAACTAAAATAAAAACAACAGATATAGGATGCAATTGCATATAAATTTGACCACTCCAAATTCTGCAAATGTGTGCCTGTTCTAAATTGTTCCATTTCGCAATCAACGTAGACATGAAATGTATGAATATAAATGTTCATAGTACATATACATACACACATTCATATATAAGGGTGTAAACCATACTGGTAGATTCTTCTAAAGATGGAGATTATAATGCCAGCAGTTTTGCGAAAAATCGAAGTATCACTTTTTCTCAGAACTAAATACTTGGTTGCAATAATACGGTTTTGTTATTAAAACTAAAGAAGAAGTTTAGTAGCAGTCAGTAATGACTTTCACTTACACAACTACTTATTTTCCAATGACTCCCATATATCGTCTGCATTACTTTTAAATACACTTATAATGACTTACATTTAATCAGATACCCAAGTACATACTATATTTTTGGGATTTTTCATTTGAATATTTTATTAGACCTCGCGCTAGCAAATGTTTTTTAACACACATAGAAGAAAATTGCTTTTCTGCGTGAAACCTATTATTTGACTCACAATAAAATAACTAAGGTAAAACTAAACAACTTTGGATTTTTGGCGATTTTTTTAAAAAAATTTAGTGAGCTAACCACTGGCCCCCATTCCGCCCTCAATCACCTTCAACTGACAAGCAACTCGAAAACACGTCAGTTCCAAACATGTGAAATTTCATTGCGATATATCCAATAGTTTCAGAGATACTGTATTATTTCTAAAAATAAAAGTTTCTAAACCACTGTCCGCTATCTATAAAATACTTACGCTATCTATAATACTTTCCGTATATATAACCTATGTGGACGATATTAATGTATAAGTCATTAATATCGTATTTGTCTAGCTCCCGGAATCAGTTTAAACAGTCATAAATATAAGTTTTTATGTGTGCAAAAGTGTAAAGGCATATTTACCAAAACATTGAAAATGTATATAATTTATATGTTCTTTCGGTGTGAATCTATTAAAAACTTGGAATTGGAATCAACCCTTCCTCAATCACACTACATCATAGTTTTGTGCAATTGAAGGCTATATTAGACTAAAATAAACTTTTTCTTAAATATTTTTGTACACAAAAAATGGGCCAAATAATAACAATAGGTAGTCCCACTCCTCAGGCGGATGAGGAGTTCGTGTTACATCGGGATACTTGCTTTATTGTCAAAACTATATAGCAGTCTCTTATACTATGTACTATATCACACTTTTTTAAACTATAAAAAATATATACATACATATTTACTGAAATTAATTTGACATTTTTTAAAAAATGAATAAATTACTTCACAAAAGATTTCGTATTGTCCCCGTATTTCATATTTCACCATATTAATCGAAAAACAAAAGTTAGAATCGAAAGGTTTTTGTAGTGTTTTTCGAATGCATTATTATTTTTAACTACACAGAAAAAACTGAAAATGTGTTTTAATTATCAAATTAATTGTATCAAGCAAGTTTTGCACCTATCAACAAAATGATGATATCAATTATGAAATTATTAAAAAATTATTTTTTTTTCCAATTAAAGAAATAATCAAAACAATTAACATCAGTAATTAAACTCAAAATTCAAAATTAGTTAGTTCATTAATTGGATAAATTAAATATTTAATAAAATAAAACTTACATTTTAATTAGTTTATTAATCAAGTGAATTAAACTGTTTGATTAAATATTTATTATAAATCAATTAAGAAGATGATTGAAACAATCAAAGCATTAATTGAATGCTTACAACGTTAAAGGATTACTTTACCTTTAACAATGCCTTCAGCACTCTCAAAAATATCTCTTTGTTTTCACATTTGAACAAATAAAGTGATTTATAAATTTTAAAATATTTATGAAACTTCAACTTCTTATGCCTAAAATATTATTGACTATTTAAGAATTATAAATATTCTTTCCATTATAAATAAAGAAATTATTAAAATAAAATATCAAAACAAAAAACCAAAATAAAAAAGTAGGCTGAAAAAACATTTTCAGCCAATTAAAAAATTAATTGATTCAATTAAAAATGTAATCAAAATTGTATACTTAGGATCAAAACAATGAGATAATTATGACAATTAAAAATATTGTTAAAATAAAAGTTAAAAAAAGAGGAAAGCATATTAATTGAAAATAAACTACCTATAATTTTTTCTGTGATATTTATTACGAAAAGCTAATTTTCTGGAATTTGCCGTTTTTTGTGATATACTAGTTATGTACTAGTGTATTTGCGAGATAAAAAGCCCAAACCGGTAGGTTCAGTTGGTGCAGTATTATAAATCCATAGGCAATAAAGCCATATAATAAAATAACACCCCATTTTAAATGTGAAACAATGCCCCAAAAAGCGAATTAAATCTCCAAATTTCCTTGTGTTTGCTCTCTAATTTTTGCTTTGGGGAGTTATTTCATGACGCCGACAATGTCAGCTCAATCTTTTGGCAATTTGAAACTGTAAAAATTACGCTATTATGGCGTTATTTCTACTTTGGTTACTAAATGATTATGGTGTTTTTGCACTCTGGTGTAGGCAATAAAGACATATGGTTCCACTTCTCATTCCATTTAGATATAAAGCCATATGGCTTTATATAACACTGCACCGGTTCAGTTATTTGGGTGTAGATTAAATCAACAATTTTCAATAAAGTTATTCTTTGGAGTAAAAGTGGAGCATTTGCAAAATTTCATCAAATACCTTTAAAATTGGCACCTGTAGTTTGATTGCAAGGTTTATATAGACGGACAAGCAGACAGAGTCGATTGGTATACTTTTAGATGGGTGTAGGTACAATCATTAGAAATCGCTTTCATTAACCTGTTTGTATTTAATTTTTACTGCATCTTTATTTGTATCTAACTATAAATATCTAAAAAATAATACGAAATTGTATTTAAAAATTAGGAATTTTTATAAGCAGGAATGAAATAGTTCAGGAAAAGGCAGTAGGTTATTAGGTAATTAATTTTCTAAAAGTTGCTTTATATCGGGACTGGGGGAAATCTTCGTTTACATAAGTTGTATTTATCCTAAATTTCATCGCGACATTAGCCTCTTTAATCGAATTATGGACTAAATGTCTTATTTTTTGAGGGAGGGTGTCCGATATAACTATCAGGAAAAGGGTGTTTCGCGGTACACCACAGGATGGAATTTTGTTTCCTTTACTCTGGGTTACCACGATTGATAGCCTCCTAAGGACCCTAACCGAGAAAGGACGTAGATATGTCTGATATGCAGACGATATCGTAATATTTTTAAAGGGAAAGGATCCAAATTACTTGTGTAGAAGAGATGAGGAGGCTCTGAATACGAGGACGGTAATTTGTCTTTTCACAAAAAGACAAAAATTTGTACATATACTGAACCTTGCGTCCTGGGTTAAACGATACCGGTGACGGACAAAGTTATGTACTTAGGTGTAATCCTCGACCGGAAATTAAAATGGAGACACCACATAGAGGATAGGATCAACAAGGCACGTCCGTGCTGGGCGATATGTGGGAGAACTATAGGTATTAAATGGGGTCTTAGTCCTACTAAGACAAATTGCCTTTATAAAAGTGTAATTACACCAATTTTAGATGATGCTTCAATAATCTGGAGGACTGCTTTGGACAAAAAGTGTAATATTAAACTACTACAGGGAGTTCAGCGTACATTCTGCGTGGGTATAAGTGGTGCCATGTGAGTAAGTACCTACTTCAACCAAGGCTCTGGAAACATTGTTAGATATTCCACCCATTGAAACATATATAAGATATGAGGCGGCGCTTACAGCCGAACGGCTCATGGTCAAGCGGAACAATACAGCAAATATCCTTAGGAATTCGTTGCTACACGGATGGCTTTAATTTGGGGGACAGAGTGGGCCTAGGTGTTCTGTGTTAAAGACTCAGAAAGAGTAATACACCACCGTTTATTCGAATACATGGACTTATTATATTTACCGACAGCCAGAATGCAATTAGGGCAATATTAGGTGATAAAGTTAAATTTAAGACCGTATTGGATTATAAGAAAGCTTTAACTGAATACTCTCCCAGAGGTAAGGTTTACATCATATGTGTACCAGGCCACTCGGGATAAGTCGGCAACGAAAAGGCGAATGTATTAGCTTTAAAGGCAAGGGAGCTTGAGGTAGCTTACCTGACGAATGCAAAAAGAAAATCCTTTAAGGCCTCTTGGAATAATGAAACGGTGGGCAGAACCACAAAGATCCAATGAGGTGACCCTAGTGAGAGCAAGAGTAGAAAAGTGATCAAGTCTATGGTTAGTATGATGGTACGTATTCTGAGTAGACACACAGGATTACTGGCATAGTTTTGCAAAATTGGACGTGCGCATTAAGACGAATTAAGACGACATTCCTCATGAACACTGATTTGAAAATTATTAGGAATTTCGTCCATGAAACTGAGTTTCTGAACATTGAAAGATAATACATTTATTTAACACAATTTTTTTTCTTTTTACCAATAAACATTTTTTTCCATGGGCATAACAGGCTCGATAGTGGCCTAGGTGTATTTCTTCGGATCTGATGTAATATACATCCTCCTATCATGTGCTAAATAAAACTTAGATTTTTCTCTCTTTTTATTGAAATTTCAAGTTGGATTGGTCATAAGCAATAAGTTTTATTTCAACAACTTTACGAAACTTGTGTTTAAACATGCAGTGATATATCAGTTACTATCATAATTGTTGGGTTACAACAAAAACCATCAGATACAAAGAAATATAGTTATTGTAGATTTTTAATAATTTATATGTCATATGATATCCAAATAAAAATATTTTTTTACGACGTAACTAACTCGTTAATATATTTCATCTGATTTTAAATTATTACACAATGAAGCCATATAAACAAACATTTCCATACCAGTAATTCTTGGAAATATGAGTTCGAAATTATATTAGACCTGCTTAAAAATGGAAATTTTATGTGAGGAACCGAATTTTAATTGCAAATTTCGAAAATATAATTAGAAAAAACTTTGAACATTAACCCCGTATTCATTTTAAGAAAATTTCGAAAAATATTTTATGAAATTGTTATCCCTTCATATTTGGTGTATGGGATTTTCATATATATTGACTTTAAATTTTTAAGGACAGGTTTAATATACATACATGCATCCATCATTTCATTTACAGTCATTTACTACCGGTTTTTGTAAATCGAGCAAACAAATCGAATACAATTTGAAACAGTGTCTTTTGTACTAATTTCCTGATAGAATTTTTCATTCGTATCATAAAAACTGTCAGTTGCATATATGAATGCAATATGACAATGCTTAATTTCTGTTTGTATGCTCTTTTGTTTCAGAATGACCGACTTATGATTGGACAATATGTAACAATGTTCGGTGACGTCATTAGTCATGTTAATATATCGGCTGTCAAGTCGGAAGATGGTGGCGATTACGAATGTAAAGCAATTTCTCGCGCTGGTGAAGCATCACATACTGCTCGACTGAATATTTATGGTAAGTTTCATTTAAATTGATTGCAAAAAAATATGTAAGAATTGTATGTATGCAGAGATATGTAAATATAAAGTTAAAAAATATCAACACAAATGATTAAAAGTGCAGAAAAAACTGTATTAATAATTCTTTGTCGTACTCTTATTCTTTACTTCAATCCCTATCTGAAGGTATGCCTTATGTAAGACCGATGCCAAAGTTGTCTGCAGTAGCTGGAAAAACATTTTTCCTTAAATGTCCTGTGGCAGGATATCCAATTGATAGTATAATCATAGAAAAAGGTAGTGTATATAGTACATTTGTCCATCATCTGATCCAGTAGGTAGCTGTACGTAAACGTAAATGGTGCCATAACCAGATGAAGATGAATTGTGCATACATGTAGCTAAATATATGTACATATTTTGCACATTTCATAAATCAATTTAATTTGTTTGCTGGTTACTTCATTTTATTTTTATTTCTATTTTTTATTCCCCATCTCTATTACATGAATTTACTAAAACAAAACTCAACGAACCATTCATGCATTACTTTTTCATGTTCATCATCAGATGGCGTAAAACTTCCCACAAACATATGACAGCGTGTTCAAAATGGCACACTACTGATAGAGAATGTTCAGCGCACCGCCGACCAGGGTACCTACACATGCATTGCCCGCAACAAACACAATTACACTTCCCAACGTTCGGTAGAAGTTAAAGTCCTTGGTAAGTATAATTTCACTATTTCCATTTTATTTATGTAAGTTTTTTTTTCTGTTTGTTTATTTCTGCGATAATTTATTTTATCATAATTTGTTTTCATTAAGTACGCATAAATTGTACAAATATTGCAAAATTTATGATGCAACAATTTTATAACAAATTATGGACCTTTATTAAGGAGAACCTCTCGTTCTTGCATTTGAAAGTTCTGCAGATATTTTTTTAATTGCAAGCGAAAAATTTAGTTTAGTCATAAAAAAGTAAATTAAAATAATTTGGTAAACTAAATTGGATTAATATAATAGTGGCTTATAATTTTTACAAATACATATATCAATGAAATAAAGCTGAAAGAGTTTTTTTATATTTAAATTTTGCATAATGTTTGGGCTTCCCTTTACTTCATAATAGATAACAAATGTCAATGCTAAACTTAATTCATGACGTCTTATTAGAATCACAGCGATTTTCACACATGAATAAATCGACATACTTGTTTATATCAGAGGGATCCAAAAAATATCGATTTTGTTTGGATAGGTCTTATTTTATTTACTAAAGTCTTGACGGAAATCGATTCAAAAGTGAAATGAATTAAAAAACTTTTAAAACTATATTTTCTTAACTTTTGGAGAAAATTGTCTATTTAGCCATGTAGAAATATTGTAATTAAAATTGGCTGCAGTTGTCGACCACGAAAAAATCATCATAGCAGAGGAGATGCGTATAATTCGTATATTAAAAATGACTTTTATACATTAACAAGGTCCATGAACACTCAATTACTACTAAATATTACTCAGAAGGTTGCCCAAATTCTTCAATATGACGTAAATAACACCTTTTATTTACCTAAAATTCAAACTGGCTAGGATTGATTTAACAAAGGGTTAGGTTAGGTTATTAAGGCAGCCAGTCATTTGACCGACTCAATTGGGTCCTAAGGGTCCCGTTGTGATATCCTGTAACAGATTCTGCGAAAAACAAAACCAAAACCTATGGGACATTACATGTCCGTGATTAATGTTCGTTTATCGTAGAGAGACCAGGTCATTCTTGATATTGAGCAGTGAGTCAGTGATGACCATTTGGTTTGAGCAGACCCAAATGGTCATCACTGACCGTTCCCCAGGATAGAAGCGTGACCATGTCGGTTTGGCTTCCATATCCCTGCGAGGTTAGTATGATAAGTACCATTATACTAACCTCAGACTTGCTCATTTTGAGGAGATTTCTCGTCTTGCTCTTATGAGAGTCACCCCATAGGATCTTTGTGGTTCTGCCCACGTTTTATTATTCGAAGAGACCTTGTGGGATTATCTCAACCTGATAATCATATCACCTGATATCGCTCTAATTGCCTTCCGGCTGTCGATAAATATATTAAGCCCTGTGGTCTCCATATTTATTATAATCCAATTTACACATAGCTTGTGTTATGATTAGGTAATTAGGTATATTTTTGTTTCTGGGTCTTCAATATAGAACCCCAGGCCCTCTTTGTCCCACAATGTAGAGCCATCCGTGTAGCAACGGATTCCTACTGATATTTGCTCTAATGTTCCGCATGTCTAAAACATTCTATCTGGGATCAGCGTTTACAAATTTCCAACATATTCTGTATCTGGTATGCTATCAAGCACGTCCGATGATTGTGTCCAGTATACATTGATGACGTGTCCTACAACCGCTTTTGGCCTGTTTGTCTAAAGTAAAGAGCGGTTCGGCTATAAGCGCCGCCTCATATCTTAAATATGTTTCAGTGGGTGGAATATCTAGCAACGTTTCCAGAGTTTTGGTTGAAGTAGTACGCATAGCACCACTTATACCCAAGGAGCATGTACGCTGAACTCCCTGTAGTAATTTGATATTACACTTTTTGTCTAAAACAGTCCACCAGATTATTGAAGTATAAGCTAGAATTGGTCTAATTACACTTTTATAAAGCCAATTATCATAGTAGGACTAAGATCCCATTTCATGCCTATAGTTTTCCTACATATCGCCTATCAAGAAGGCACATGTTGATCATACCCTCTATGTGGTGTCTCCATTTTAATTAGTGGTCAAGGATTACACCTAAGTACTTAACTTTGTCTGTCACCGGTATCTTGTTTCCCAGGAAGCAGGGTAAGAAAGGGTAGACATTTTTGTCTTTCTTGTGAAAAGACAGATTTTCGTCTTCGTCGGGTTAACATTGAGGCCTCTCGGCTCGAGAGCCTCCTCAGCTCTTCTACATTTATTAGAAAACACGTATAAATTTATTTTATATTACCAAAACTTATGTATATAACAAAATATAACAAGTAGTCCGACTCTTTGACAGCAATACCTAACTCTAAACATGTGTTAGTGAATAAGTACCTAACTCTAAATTTGTATTAGTAACAAAAATGTACATGTATTTTCTCCAGAGTTTTCTTTAAATTCTGCTTGTAACTTTTAATTCTACCACAACAAAAAATATCAATAATAAATAAAAAATAAAATTTTCAATTTGCTCAAAATAAATGCAATTTTAACCCGTTATCAATTAGAAAATGTAAGTAGAAATTTAAGATTTTTGACACAATAATGTATCTCACCAGGGTGTTGAATTAACACAGCACCAGTAAATGTTGAGTGGTAATTTCGTATACGTGAGAGTCGGGCTACTTGTTATACTTTGGTATATAATTTATTCTAAAACAATATATTTTAAATAACATTATTTTCATTGTTTTTAAAATTTATATTCATATTAATTTTCATTTAATCTCTGAGGCAAAGCTGTAGCTCATATCATAAAGAACAGATAAAATCAAAAAAAAACTTCATCTTCAAGATCAAAATTGCAAAAATCTAAGAAAATCGATTTTTTACTTATTAAAAGATATTTGAAGTGCTTCTCTAAATAATGCGTATACTTAATATTTGTCAAATCAATAAATCAATAACACGTATACTTGCAGGTGTCCTCTATAAAAGTAGTGCAATTTCACAATGTATAACTTTCTACTTGAAATGAAAATATGAAGATGAAGTTTTTTTTTGATTTTATATGTTCAAAATGTTTATTCTTTATGGTAAGAGCTACAACATTGCCTCAAAGAGTAAATCAAAATATCGAACGGTTTGCATGGTATGAGCGTGAAAAAATTATCACTTTTTTTGCAAAAAACGGGTATTTTTTTTAGTCTTTTATCACGTAAAGATGTCCGTATATGATTACATTTTTTTCGTGTTGCACTGTGTAATAATATATAAACAAAATATGATACTAAACGAATTTTCCAATCAGTGTTCGTGATATTTGGATCTAATTTCGGCGAAAGCCTGACAGTGGCAAAGGAAGTGCTCTAGAGTTTCACTGTTCTCTCTACAAGCTCTACATTGGTCTGAACCCGTAAGTTCATTTTTGAATAGCTGTATCTGCAATCCTGTGTGTCCACTCACTCAGACTTGCTCATTTTGAGGAGGCTTCCCATCCTGCTCTCGTAAGGGTCACCCCATAGGATCTTTGTGGTTCTACCCACCGTTTCATTATACCAAGAGCCTTATTGGGTTTTCTCATCCATATTTTTAATTCTGCCCTCGTTGCGTCAAATGGTTCTTGCGTTCGTCAGATTAACTACCTCGAGCTCCCTTCCCTTTAAAGCTATTTCATTCGCTCTTTTGTTGCAGACTACTCCCGATTGGCCTGGTACTCATATGATGTAAAGCTTACCTTTGGCAAAGTATTCGGTTTTTAGATTAAATTTATTATTTGATATCCCCTTAAATGCCTTCTGGCTGTCGGTAAATATGTTAAGCCCTGTGGGCGCTATATTTATTCTAATCCAATTTACGCATTTATTGACATTCCCAGACATTCTATTTGGGATCAGTGTTTCAAAGATTCCTAGATTCTCTTAATGAAATGAATTGTAGTAATAATCCGTCTTGTGTGACAGTTAGAATTAGCAAATTTAAAATTGACATGGGACACTCTTAATGATGTTGCAGGGCCAAAACTCGAAATGTCGTATGAACGACTTCATACAAATAATTTTATCAATTTAAATATTTATTTCAGATGTTAGTATTTGTCAAAACGTACTAAAATTTGCAATATTTGTACATTTTTATGATAAACAAAAAAAAAAAAAAAAAAAAAAACAAAGAGATATACATATAATAATTGAATTCAAACACACATACAAACGTATGTAAACATTCCATACATACACATACATTGATATTTGCACTTTTTGTCTAAAAAATCATTATTTAAATTTTGATTAAAAATAAACATTTTAAATTGTACACATTGACAAAAATACAGGCTCAAAAAAGTACAAAATAAAACGACTACAACAAAAATACACAACAGAAATTAAACAAAATAGAAATAATAAATAAAATTAAATAAAACAAAAAGAAATACAATAAAGTGGTATAAAATAAAATAACAAAATATAATAGAATTGTATCGTGTTAAACGATGACACATCACATAAAGTGAAATAACAATAAATTTGTTTAAATTTAATTTTTTTTTATTTATATATTTATTTACTCATTCATATCAATGTGTGTATCCCTACCACTGTTGTACTTAAATTGTATTTGAAAAAAAAAATAAACATTTTTATTTTCTTTAAAAAACATAAAATGAAAGTACAGCAGTAACAAAAAAATAGCACGTTTTTCTATTAAAAACATCAACAGGAACAAAAAAAAAAGAAACTAAATTAAATTGCATTTTTTGTAAACATTAATTTTATTCCACAGACATACATACATTTACATAGATACACACATATGTATGTATGTATAAACTAAACCAGATACAATTTTTTATTACTACAACTACACAATATACATACAGACATTGAACTTTACAAACAAACACACACACATATGAATGTATGTATGACTATGTATATCTATTTGGATCTGCAAATGTGAATTCTACTCTATTTGATGCCAAATTTTATTTTAAAAAATTACATATTCATGCCAACAATATTCAAGTTACACTT